ACTTCCTGAGAACAAAACACCGGAAACAACCCCAAGGGTTAGTGACAGAATAATATTTAAAAATTTGGGATATAAAAAAAAAAACAAAAAAAACAAAAAAAATTGGGATATACAAACATTGAGGTCTTGTAGAAGTTTGTTAAATAATAAACTACTCTGCATACAACAATAGGCATGAATCTTAAAAATCTTGTATGAAAAAAGCAAGTTATGGAAGGTTAAATCATAAGAGAAGGCAAATTAAATAATATGTTAGTTCATCTGCACATTTATGTGATAAAACAACCCAATTCAAGGGAATGATGACAAACACACAGTTCAGGATAGTGGTAATCTCTCCATCTCTGCTGGGGGGATACAGAGGAATGGAACCGGAGGCAGAAACATACATGTGGCAATATTAGTAATGTTCTCCTATAGTTCTTGTTATGGATTAAATTGCTCCCTCCCAAAAAAAGACATTGATGTCCTAACCCCCAGTATCTCAGAAAGTGATCTTATTTGGAAATAGGGTTGTCGGAGATGTAGATAATGAAGACCAGGTCATACTGGAGTAGGGTGGACCCCCTAACTCAAAATAACTGGGGTTTTTAAAAGACCCCATGTGAGATCAGAGACACAGGAAGGATGATGGCATATGATGATGACGGCAGAGACCGAGTGATGCATCCCCAAGCCAAGAAACACTAAAGCCGCGAATCCCCAGAAGGTAGGTAAGGGACACGGAATAGATTCTCCCTCACAGCCCTCAGAAGGAACAAAGCTGCCACCACCTTGATTTTGGACTCCTAGCCTCCAGCCTGGAAGACGATAAATTCCCATTGGTTCAGCCACCCACTTTGTGGTACTTGTTACAGCAGCCCCAAGAAACTAATGCAGTCCTTAGATGAGGCAGGAGGAGCATGGGTGTTTATTTATTTATTTATTTTTTATAATTCACAATTTACAAATGTGTTACATATGCTGCCTTTCATGTATCAAATAGTTATATAATAAAAATAAAAAGACAGAAGATGTTAGTAATTTCATTACTACCAAACCAGGGCATGTTTGTACTATTAATCTCAATGGCAAATTCCAGAAAAGCTTTTCTGGACAGTTTTATGAAAACCATAAAATTCAACTTCCAACACTCCCTTTAACTTTTATGGAGTTTTTATTGCAACCTCAGTGTCACTGAGTCCCTGTTTCTCTGACTTTAATTACAGTGCACACATCTTCTGAGCAAAGTGTCCTTCTGCGTCTCATTCTGAGTGGAGGTGATTGCCAAGCTCACACCTGTCATGGGAGGTTAGCTCCACGGACACCGGCTGAGGGCAGCTTTGCCTCCGTGGAACACAAAGGGAATCCTGGACATCTAAAATCCCTCCCAGGTTTCCAGCCCCATGCGTCCCAAATGTCAGTGCCTTCCCTGAACCTAGAAGTCCTGCCAGAGGAGGGGCTTTGTATGCTTTGTCCAGACAGCCGTATGGGCGCCACCAAGAGGCAGCGCCTGATACAAAATTGGTGCTCAAAAAATTGGTGGAATGAATGTATCAATGGATAGTTTTATTTATTTTTTTTAATTTTTATTTATTATTTATGATAGTCACACAGAGAGAGAGAGAGAGAGGCAGAGAGAGAGGCAGAGACACAGGCAGAGGGAGAAGCAGGCTCCCTACACCGGGAGCCAGACGTGGGACTCGATCCCGGGTCTCCAGGATCGCGCCCTGGGCCAAAGGCAGGCGCCAAACCCCTGCGCCACCCAGGGATCCCCAATGGATAGTTTTTTTTTTTTTTTTTTTTTTTTTTTTTTTTTTTTTACGATAGTCATACAGAGAGAGAGAGAGAGAGAGAGGCAGAGACACAGGCAGGCTCCATGCACCGGGAGCCTGACGTGGGATTCGATCCCGGGTCTCCAGGATCGCGCCCTGGGCCAAAGGCAGGCGCCAAACCGCTGCGCCACCCAGGGATCCCCCCAATGGATAGTTTTATAAGAGTGTCCACTTCTCAAGAGAAGTAACAGTAGCAACTGCCACATTTCAGAAGAGTTTATCAACCATCCCCTATTATTATTATTATTATTATTATTAATTAGTTTTGATCTGTTTGTTTCCCTTAGCTACTGAATCACCAGCTCTTCGTCCTTATATAAGCAGTGGAAGGCTGCCTTTGGGAACTTTGATTAGAGGATCAGATTCGGGTCCCCTAAGGCCACACTCACGCACACCAAACACACGGGTGTGTATAATTTTTTTCTTTTAAGAATAGTGAGTTGTCTAATCTTCCAAAGCAGTTGGCAACTTGCTCTGCTAATAGTAACATATTCTCCCTCTTGGGAGGAGAAGAGATGTCAGTGCTTTAGAATCTTTTAGTGATCTTCAAGTGAAACGCGTCTCGATAAGGAGTGGATTCTAAAAAAGAAACTCCAAGAATACATGCAAAGTTAGATGATTTTTTAATTTAATTTATTTATTTTTATTTTTTAGATGATTTAAAAAAATTTTTTTTAAATTTATTTATTTATGATAGTCACACACACACAGAGAGAGAGGCAGAGACACAGGCAGAGGGAGAAGCAGGCTCCATGCACCGGGAGCCCGATATGGGACTTGATCCCGGGTCTCCAGGATCGCGCCCTGAGCCAAAGGCAGGCGCCAAACCGCTGCGCCACCCAGGGATCCCAGATGATTTTTTTTAAAAAAATGGGATTTATGCAGTACTTTGAAAAATAAATTGCTATTGTTGTGAATACGTTACAAAATGCATATTATGATTTGACGTTACATTATTGAGATTGCTTTGTTTGTTTTTCCCAGCAGCTAGAGCAGCTGACGTTAGTGAGGTGCTCCAGTGACAGTTTTCAAGATCTCCGACTCTAATATTGGTACTGCTGATGGTAACATTGATGAATTCAAGCAACATTTGACAAGTGACCAGGCACAGACCTAGGTGAGGTTGGAGAGATGGGTAAGACCTCTGCAGGAATTCATTTCAGGGGGAGAGACATAAATAAATAGGCAATTGCAATGTAATTGAGTAAGTGTTCTTAATCATCGAGGGAAATAATAGTTCCCTACGACATTCACGTTTTCTGTGTAGTTTAGCACAGAGTTATTCTTTGGATACTAGCCATCTGGATATTATATTCTTTTACTAACCAGAATATTTGTTTAATCAAATTGTTCAATTCCCTGACCATACCTGAGCAACAGTTTATTTTACAAGTTATGATCATATCATTAAAAAAAAACCCCTCAGTATCTACTACTGTGGGGAAAACTGTGCAATCATTCTTTCCTATTGTTAATAGTTAATTTATTTTATCTCACTTTAGCATTTTACGATCCTTTTCAATTTTCCAGGAATTTAGAGGCCCCTTCTGACTTTCGAACAGAGTAAGGAGGGTTTATTTCCAGGTGGCACTGGTTTTTCACCTAGGTGGTGGCAACATTGTACTAAAATAAAGAGAGCACAGGTCACCAATAGATTTTCCCCAAGTGTTTAGCTGGAAAAATGAGACACAGGAGGTACGGGTCAAAACAATATTAACAAAAAAGCAGTTACAGTATTAAATTGACCCAAATCATAGTTCCTAATGACATAGTGGGCATTTCTTCACCTGATAAGAACATGATTTCCACTAAATTTAGATTCACAACTCTCTGGGTAAACGTATTATGAGAAATACTGTCGACATTGGGCTTTTAAAAATCATTAAAATGTTGCTAATACCTTATCTGCAGGTGTCCTTCAAGAATACTTCTCATCCCTTTCCCTTCTCACATTCCTTAGAAAGTTAGAGTCCAGGCCTCTGATAGGGAACCCCGAGGCAGTGACTGTTTTCATTTACAACACGTGGCTTGAATACTTGTTTTGGACTCCCTGGGGATATGGGCCCCGCTGAGCCCTTTCCTCAAACACACCGGCTCTGTCTGCCTGATTTCTTTACCCTTTTCTTTTTTTCTCTTTCTTTCTTTCTTTCTTTCTTTCTTTCTTTCTTTCTTTCTTTCTTTCTTTCTTCTTTCTTTCTTCTTTTTTCTTCTTTCTTTCTTTCCTTCCTTCCTTTTCTTTCTTTCTTTCTTTCTTTTTCCTTCCTTTTCTTTCTCTTTCTTTTCTCTCTTTCTCTTTTTTCTCTTTTTCTCTCTTTTCTTTTCTTTCTTTTTTCTTTCTCTTCTTTCTTTCTTCCTTTCTCTTTCTTTCTTTCTTTCTTTCTCTCTTTCTCTTCTTTCTTTCTTTCTCTCCTTTCTTTTCTTTCTCTTTTTTCTTCCTTCCTTCCTTCCTCTTTCTCTCTCTTTTCTTTTTCTTTCTTTTTCTTTCTTCCTTCCTTACTCTTTCTTTCTTTTTCTTTCTTCCTTACTTTTTCTTTCTTTCTTTTCTCTCTCTTTTCTTTCTCTCTTTTTTCTTTCTCTCTTTTTTCTTTTCTTTCTTTCTTTCTTTCTTTCTTTCTTTCTTTCTTCTTTTTTCTTTCTTCTCCTTCCTTCCTTCCTTCCTTCCTTCCTTCCTTCCTTCCTTCCTTCCTTCCTTCCTTCCTTCCTTCCTTCCTCTTTCCTTCCTTCCTCTTTCCTTCCTTCCTTCTCTCCCTCTCTCTTCCTCTCTTTCTTTGGATTTATTCAGGAGAGAGAGAGGCAGAGCCACAGGCAGAGGGAGAGGCAGGCCCCTGCGGGGATCCCGAACCGAGACTCGATCCCAGGACCCCGGGGTCACGCCCAACGCTGAGCCCCCCCCCGCCCCCCGGCCCCGGGCGCCCCTCTATCCTTTGCGAGCCGGATCAGGGACGGACGGAGGGTGCGCTGCGGGGTGCCGGGCGCCTGCACCGTCCCGAGTCCCACTCGGCGCCCCGAGCTCCCCGAGGTCGGAGACGCAACTTCTCGGCGAGCGGCCGGGCGGCTGCGGGCGCGGGGGGGGGGCGGGGGGGCGGGGGAGGGGGCGGGGAGGAGAGAGGGGGCAGGGAGGGGGACGGCGACGGGGACGGCGAGGGGGACGGGGAGGGGGACGGGAGGGGGCGGAGGTCCCCCGCGCCCTGCCTCCCGCGCCCGCTGCAGCGCCGCCGGGGCCGAGCGACCGAGGAGCCGCGCGCGCCCGCAGCCTCCAGCTTCCGCGCCGGCGGAGGGGAGCGCGGACGGACGGACGGACCGACGGACGGCGGGACGGCGGGACTGGAGGGGGCCGGGCGCGCGATGGCCCTCGGAGCGGGCCGCCCTTCCCCGCCCGGGCCCTGGCGGCGGCCGGGGATGCGCAGGTAACGGGCCCGGCGCTGCCTCCGCACGCCGGCCTCGGGATGCTCCGCCCGGGGGGGTGGGGTGGGGGGACCCGGGGGGGACCCTCCGGCGGCCGCCCCGGGGCGCAGCTGAGGCCGAGCGCCCCCGGGGCGGGAGTGGGGCCGGCGGGGGGCGCCCCCGGGTGCGGTCGGGCCGGGAGGGGCGTCGCGGCGGAGCGCGGCCGGGACGGGGCCCGGGGCTCCCCGGCGGGCTGCTCGGAGGAGGGGGCGCCGGCGGCCTTGGCTCGGGGTCGGGGCGGCGGCAAGGCGGAGGGGCGAGCGGGGACGAGCACCCGGGGCCGCTTGGGCGCCCCGGCGCGGCGGCTGGTGTCCGGGCGAGCGCGGCCGCCCCCGTCCCCGCCGGCGCCCGGGCTCTGCGCAGGTGTGGCCGCTGGACCGCAGGAGCCGCTCGGAGACGCAGCCCCGGCCCCCGGGGCCCCCGGGGCCCCCGGGCCTGGGGTCTGCTGTAGGTCGAGCTACAGCTGACGGCTCAGAGTGGCCGGAGAAGCCAGCAGGGGTCAGTTTGCTGGTCCCCCCTTGTCCCCTCCCGAAGCCCGGAGGAGGTTCCCTGGCCTGCCTGCCCAACAGGTAGTTCCCTCAAAGAGGACTGGGTGGGGGGGGACCAAGCCCTCCAAAGGCAAACGCAGAAACCGCAGAAGGTCACCTCGTTATTTGAAGAGAGACTATTGTGCGCATTGAAAAACTTTTTAGGGTTTCCATCTGATCTTGTTGGTGACCCCATCCATAAACTTTAGAAGCTTCAGGGTGTCTGTGAAATGTAGGGAGGCGATTTGGGAGGCCCCCGTTTGCAGAGTTACCCCGAAGCAGGTGTGTGCGTGTGTGTGTGCGTGTGTGTGTGTGTGTGTGAGTTCGGGCAGCTTCTTTACCTTGAAAATGAGATGTGGAGCCGCAGGCAGATGTGTGCTGCCTGGTGTGATGCAACCTCGCCTGTGATAGGCCAGATACAGCCGATTGCCCCCACCGGGTGCTGGGGCACATCAGGCTTAAATGTCAGATGCGCAGTTACCCAGGGCTCACGACTCCTCTGTCTTTGTGCTGCAGATGTCCGGACTGCAAGCCTGCACTGTGCTGAGAGGGAGATGACTTGAGAGGCCAGCTTTTTATCTCCACAACAATGTCTATGAACAGTTCCAAACAGCCAGTGTCTCCTGCAGCTGGGCTCCTTTCAAATACAACTTGCCAGACGGAAAACCGGCTTTCGGTATTTTTTTCAGTGATCTTCATGACAGTGGGAATCTTGTCAAACAGCCTTGCCATTGCTATTCTCATGAAGGCTTACCAGAGATTTAGACAGAAGTCCAAGGCATCGTTTCTGCTTTTGGCCAGTGCCCTGGTAATCACAGACTTCTTTGGCCACCTCATCAATGGAGCTATAGCAGTCTTTGTGTATGCTTCTGATAAAGACTGGATCCGCTTCGACCAGTCGAACATCCTTTGCAGTATCTTTGGTATCTGCATGGTGTTCTCCGGTCTGTGCCCACTTTTTCTAGGCAGTGTGATGGCCATTGAGCGCTGTATTGGAGTCACCAAACCAATATTTCATTCTACGAAAATTACATCCAAACATGTGAAAATGATGTTGAGTGGAGTGTGCTTGTTTGCCATTTTCATAGCTTTGCTACCCATCCTTGGGCATCGAAACTATAAAATTCAAGCATCGAGGACCTGGTGTTTCTACAAAACAGAACACATCAAAGACTGGGAAGATAGGTTTTATCTTCTGCTCTTTTCTTTTCTGGGGCTCTTAGCCCTTGGCGTTTCATTCTTGTGCAATGCCATCACAGGAATCACACTTTTAAGAGTCAAATTTAAAAGTCAGCAGCACAGACAAGGCAGGTCTCATCATTTTGAAATGGTCATCCAGCTCCTGGCTATAATGTGTGTCTCCTGCATTTGCTGGAGTCCATTTCTGGTAAGAGCCTAACATTTTGACAATTTCTGCTTTCTTCCATTTTTTTCCATGTGTAATACAAGGTTTGTTGTCTTTTTCAAAGTTGTTGGTCTTGATGGGCAACACTATTCGATCTTTTAAATACTGGAGTTTATTCCTACCCAGAACTTACTTCGGCACCCAGCTCTGGCTCAGGATTAAGCTGTCTATGGTACCCATGGTATGATTTTCCAACACTCCTACTTGTGAAATGAAAGAGGACCTGGTGTTTCTACAAAACAGAACACATCAAAGACTGGGAAGATAGGTTTGAAAGAAATGTCTTGCTGAACAATTCTAACTATAGCGTAACCTGCTTGCAGAAGAGGATAAGGTGATTTTAATAGAGCAACATACTTTTAATATGCTTAATAGAATTAGTTTCTAAAATGTGAAAAAAACGACCAACTATAATGTAGTTTTGGAATGGGCTCAGCTAAGTCTTGGTAGAAAGTCTGTGTGAAAAGGCATGTTAGCTACTGGGTTTTTCTAAACGCACAATGCTGGGTCTTGGCTTGCAAAGGGAGGCGATGAGTTGAGATAGTTGGATAGTTGAGGTGAATTCTGTGGATAGGTTAGGTGAAGAAATCACTAGTTCACCAACCCAAGAACAATGCCAATACTTCACGGAGAGGCATGATTGGTAGGAAAACCTTCCTTTTTCATCCCATTCCTTTAAAAAAAAATTTTTTTTTTGACGTAGCCAGTAGCTCTGTTTGACAGCTTGTTATTTTTATTGGGAAATGAAAGCTAAGGTTAAGGAATTAACAACAAACCTAAGTCTTTTATATTATCTTCTAGGTAGAAGACAAAATATTTATGATTTTTTTAAGTATGGCCTTAACTCCCTTCATCATTTTACTTTATGATGGAAAGAGTGACAACATGCCATGAAAGAGAGAAAGAATCCTCTATACACAACTAGTGGTGGCAGTAAAGATTATTTTCATTCCTTCTTCTGTACCAGTGAAGAAATGGGATAGACATAGTAATACAGGGGATCCACAGGTAAAGGTGAGGCAAAGTGGGGAGACAAAGGTAGATGGAACCGAGAGGTTGTGATCATACCTTGCCTGCTGGTATGAAGGTGCTTGCGACTGATGCAGTTTTCCTAGCCCCTCCAGCAGAGCCACTGTCCAAAAACTGTTGCCAGTGGAGTTTTATTTATTTATATATTTACTTATTTTAGAGATTTTATTTATTTATTTGAGAAAGAGAGAGTGGGGAAAGTATAAGCAGGGGGCACGGCAGAGGGAGAAGGAGAAGCACGCTTCCCGCTAAGCAGGGAGCCTGATGCGGGGCTCGATCCCAGGATCCTAGGATCGCGACCTGAGCTGGAGGCAGATGCTTAACAGACTGAGCCACCCAGGTGCCCCACCAGTGGAGTTTTAATAAACAATCCTGATGATCCTGATGCATAAGAAAGTTGTGAGAGCTGCTGTTGCAGACAAATCCTGTGACAGCTGATTTTATTCTCCAAAAGGGTTTCTACTTTTTGAATATTTTCTTTATTCATATTATGTTCTCACAATTTGAATTTAGCTTCTGGAATTGTTAAATAATTTAAATATTTCTTCCTGATATTCTGGAATTGGTCCTAGGAACCCAACCACAGGGAGGCCAGGTTGGGTCTGTCAATGGCAAGTCAACATTTTGAGGCCTGCTTGTTGTCGTTTAGGAGGCCTTAGGTGTAACCAAGCAGAGATCTGATCTGTGTTCATTGTCTGGTTATTTGAATCTGAGCAGCAGAGAACAATTCTATCAATACTTAGGAGTCACTTCAGCGTTCATTCTTGAAGAGTTTAATTTATGCCACTCAACAGAGGGAATTCCCTTTGAACGACCCTTTTTTGCCCCTTAAACTTTGAAATAATCTAGCTTTTCAAAATAAAAAGTGATCGTGAGTAGCCCAGAAATCAACTGGGGGTTAGAAGGAGAAAATGCAGAAGGTGAGAAAAATGGAGATCGTAGGCCTGGAGAGAGCCTGACATCAATGGAATAGTGAGAGGAGAGACAAGTGGTCTGGACAACTGAGGTAATCACTGGTGCTTTCTTTGGTTTATGTTTGTTCTCACTCACCTTTAAAATTCTGCTTCGCTCTAGCTTTTGATTGAGAAATAGGAGTGATAGGTTAACTGCTGTGAGGCTGTGGAAGGTAGCAAGATTCCATGCTCATCATGGATATTTTGAATTTATGTTTTTCTCCTCCTGAGTTTTTGGTTTCCTTCTCTGTTAAAGTAGATACTACAGTTTAATCCATATTTTGAACATATTTCTATTGGAAACATTATTTTTGTGAAACATTTTCTGAGTTCTATGTTCTATTTATGAATTACCAACACACCTATTACACCAGTGTATCAATCCTTCTAAAATGCTTTTTAGTGTGAGAATTATTTCTGTGTTTGGTGCTCAGTTGATACACCACAGATACTTCTTGAGGGGTGATTTTTTATTGGAAGCATTCTTTGCATTCCTGGTTTCTCTTGTGGACGCTTGGGTCTTCATAGCAAATTCTGACTAAAGGATTTACAGCTTTTGTGGTCCAGACACATGTGCCTTTGACATTAGGTTAAGGCCATCAGACAGCTCTAAATGGAACCCTTGTAAAGAAACTCAGGTTTGGGAATGCTGAATAACATCAAGCACTAGCATCTCATTTGAAACATGTCTCTTTTCCCCATTAAATGCTTAGGAAAACTTGCATAGATGTTAATGACTGAGCCATCACTCTCCACCTTATATTTTAAAAACTTCTTAGTTTTTAAACTATTTTAAACTTGATTTTAGCCTCTGAAATCAAGCTTCTGGATCCCCATAGTTGTACTATAACGCTGACAGCTTCTCCCAGTGCCCTACTTTACATTATGTATTTTCTTTCTATGATTGATGAGTATGGATTGTTGGATTTGTAACTTGGATAAACATCTGTGCACACTTTGACGTGTTATCACTGTCATTTTCAAGCCTCAAACTGGAACACAGTTACAGGTGCACACACACGAAAGGTAGCAGGTGAATAATGCAGATGATAGTGGTTGTGCTTGGTGGGATTTACTGTATCAAAACTTATCAATCGTGGCATAATTTCTGAAATTATTTAAATTTGTAGCTGATGACAAAGGGAATGTTTAATTAATTTCAATGATTGAGTTCAACCAATACAAAAGGGAAGATGATCATGTTGGTTGAGTTTTCATCTGTCTTTTTAATAGACTCTTTTTTCTTGATTAGTTTTAGGTTTATAGGGAAATGAGCGGCAAGCACGGAGTTCACGTTATGCCCTCTCATGTTCCCTCCGACGCCTTCATTAACCCTTATCATTTGTCACAATTCATGACCCAATACCAAATCATTCTTATTGACTAAGGTCTGTCATGTTTTACCATAGCGTTGTATGTTGTATGAGCTTTGATAAATGTATATTGACATGTGTCCATCATTGCAGTATCATACAGAATAATTTCATTGCCCTAAAAATCCCCTGTGGTGGATTTTTAATTTTTTTTAATTTTTAAGATTTAATGTGTTATTTTTCCAAAGGAGGAAATGTATGTTTTCAGGAATTAAGATTTAGAAGAGTAGTACAAATATACTAGTTTAAGCTATAGCTCATTAAAATGTTAAAATTTAAACTTTTACAGTATCTGGATTTTTATAGTTTTAAACATGGTGAACTCCTATAACTTCATTTAATTATAGTCCTAACTGAAAAATACAGGAAACTACAATGGGCACTTTTTAGTTTACAATTTCATTTAGCAACAAATTAGTACAAAAATCTTTAAGAGTCAAATGACAATTATAAAATTGTCTTCCCTGTATCCTGGGTGAATCACTGTTCCTTAATAAATAAATCTCGAAGACATTCTTTTGATGTTTCTAGGGTGAGAGGAAAAAATAACCTATTTACCAGCCTTTCAAGTAACATTTTCTTAATATTATTTTTGTCTTCATATAAGTAACGATTCTTTTTAATGTTCCGTTTCTAGAATACGTAAGCCTGAAAGGAACTTATTATTATTGCTCTTCTTATTTCATCAGTTTGGCAGAGCAATAAATACTTTTCGACTGGTTGACTGTAACTTAGGTAGTATGAATGCCCAAAGATTGCAAATGATTGACCAGAATGTGGATTCTCAGTTTTGTAGGTAAGAGTTAATTAAGCAATTACTGAAACCCAAATGGTAATTTTTAATCTGTTCCCTAAGTCAGCAACTGTAGACACTATTAAACTTCAGCAATCTTTTACCAGAAGGACAGACATTTGTTTACTTTCCCTTCAGGGATAAAGGATTATTTTGATTTGGGAAAAGAGGAGCAAGTAAATGAAAAGTAAATGGATTTCTTAGGTAGGTAAGTTTACCCCAGAAAAGTGTTCTCCTGCATATATAAAGTTTGAACTTGATTTCTTAAAGATTATTCACTCTTATGCTAGTGCTTCTAGCCAGTGTAGTTAAACATTTAGTCACTAAGATGTTTGTCAGCGATAAATAAAAACAGTTGGGTAGCTGATTGAAGTTTGACTGAATTACTAAAGGTATTGGCATCATAATGAACCAGGTCTCAGAGGGCTTATGGCAAATGATGGGTGAGCTTTGCTCTCAGGGGAATTACCCTCAGCCAAAGGAAGCTGCCTTGACCATGGTGCTTGCTGCCTTTCTTTGGTCACTGGGTGTGTGTGGTGATGGGTGGCTGTGGAGATACAAAGCCCTTGCCCCGTTGCCTAGTTTGGAACATTTCTGAAGGGTCGTCCATGCTTCCGAGCTTGCTGAGGCCTTGCAACTGCACTCAGCCCTGCTCCTCCCTTTGCCAAGTCCTGCTTCCCTCACCACCTCGCACTCCCCCGGAACACTCCCTGCTCGTAGATGTCTGTCTCCAAGTCTCTTTTCTTGCAGAGTCCAGCTTAGGGCAGTGTTTCAGAAGTCCAGTTGTTCCTGCATTATCAAAATATAAAGTATGCTGCAGATAGGTTTACAGTG